TGTGTTATAGAATTGTACACCTGAAACATATAAAGTTATTAACCAATGTTAGCCCAATAAATTTAATTTTTAAAGAGATACAGTTGATACTACATAAGAATTTTGCTTGGATGTGAACCTCTGATTTATTGTGTATTTGAGCAAATCCCATCCTGTCTCATTTCACTTACTTGCAAGCTATTATTATCTTCTTTTTGTTATAAAGATGTTTGTAAGACTGTGTTTAAGGTAATTATTTTAAGTGAGTGTTAGTTAACAGTTATCTTATCAATAATGTATTGTGGTCAGCTCGGCAAACATTTAAGCAGCACTTGTTTTACCGACGAGGAAATAAGAGGTGCAGGTAATCTTGCCACAACCACATAGCTTGAACTTTGAAGCCTAGCATAATGGTTATGTCTGTTTTAGGTAGGAGGGCTTCTTTAAGCCTCTGGAAACCAGAAGAAATTATTAACCTTGTTCCTGAGACCCTTAAATTAGCCACCCAAGTAATGCATTAAATAGTTATCTAGTACTCTGATTTTTAGCCCTAGAAATGGAAGTGGACCCATTAGAGTAAGGGACTCATCAGAATCCCCTCAAATATTTGTATTTGTCATTTCCTGTGGCAAGATGAGCAGGAAGAAAGAGAAGCTAACACTTACTGGCATGGCTAGGCATAATGAACTTTACCACAACCTTCAACATAACTAGCATCCAAATCTTGTGGATTGGAAAACTGAGACTCATGTTAAGTAACTTGCCCAAAGTCACACCTATAATAAAGGATAAAGCCAGGTTTTGAAATCATATACCAGGCTCCAAAGCCCATGATCTTTCCAACACTGTGATTTCCCAGACTGTCTAGTCACAGGAATCATCTAAGGTGCCTGTTTAAAAAATGAAATACTGAGCCATGGGGCTTCTGGAACTTCTGATTCATTTTTGGTTTGGGGTTAGGCCAGGTAATGTATCATGAATGGGAATCTTAGGTGATTCTGATCATCAGACAGGTATGGGAAATACTACAAACTCCACAAGTACTAAGAAGTAGGGTACAAAGGTATTAGGATGGGAGGAATAGGGCTGTCTGGGAGTAGACAGAGGCACTTAAAAAGAAAAGTGGACATTTTAATAATTTTCAATATTAGCAAAATAAGGACAGTAAAATTGGATTGTGGAAATTATAAAATTGCTTTAGGTTCCTTAACCTGCACAGAAAAAACTATGTTTTCTTTTCTTTTTATTAGTATTTCTCTTTCATGTGACATTTGTGCAGTCCTTTTTTTCGCGTTATTCTTGCTTACACTTGGGTACAAAGGCACCACTGAAGGATATAGATAAAACTATTTTGGACGCAGAAGAGAAAGAAGTAATTAGAAATAACATAAGAAGAGCTTTAAATACAGAATCAGTAATATCCTCAGGTGTAAAAATTTCACAAAATCTTAAATAACTTTAATCCTTAAAGTCACAGGATTATAACATTTCCAAGCTGGAAGAGCTCTTAGGTATCCACATATTTTATGCATGAGGAAAGCCACAACTCAGAGAGGCTTAAGGGCTTGCCCACAGTTAGGGGTAGACTTTCAAATCCATCCTGGCCAAGGTTCCACCAAACTCTTATGGCTTGCAAATAAATACCAGAAAATAGTGACTTTTCCAAGTTCATGCTGCTTTTTAGAAATAAATTTAGTGACAAATCATGTTTATTGTATCTTCTCTACTTTATTTATCTAATGTAGTTTCTTCCTTTTTTGATTGTCCTATTGAGAATATAAATATATTCAAAGGAATCTCTTAGGAGATTATGCAGTTTGAAATATAATCATTGATCAATGATGTTAGACAAATGAACCATTACCTCCTTAGAATAGTGTATTCAACAAATGGCCAATTTCAGAATATGTGTTAAGGAAGAACTCTAATCTTTTCCACTTATTATAAAATGTTATTTTATAAATAGAGAAAAATGAACATAACTAGATGCCTAAATGTGAATTCTACCAGTAATATATGACAGCATTTATGTGTAGTAGTATAAGTTTTGGATTCAGACTTGGGTTCAGTTATCTACAAACTTAATAGTTCTGTGATCTTTAACAGGTTATTAAATCTCAACCTAACTTTTTCCCTTTACTATACATAATAACATACCTCTCATGGCTTACTAATGATTAGTTGAGATTAAATGAGAGAATATGTGTAACATAACTAATACTATACTTTGAACAAAATAAGAATTGCATAAATGATATCTGTTATTAGTATTTCCTTGAGCCAGTATTTATTTAGAAGAATATTAATTTTTGAATGAGGGCTTTAGTTTATTGCTTTATTCAATTTTTTATCATAATCAGAAGATATGATCTGTGCAATTTCTGCTTTTAAGAATTTTGGGTTTTATGGTCTAGAACACGGTTAGTCTTTTTAAAAAATTTATCTTTGTCAGAACCGGTTTGGCTCAGTGGATAGAGCGTCGGCCTGCGGGCTCAAGGGTCCCGGGTCCGATTCCGGTCAAGGGCATGTACCTTGGTTGCGGGCACATCCCCAGTGGGGGGCGTGCAGGAGGCAGCTGATCGATGTTTCTCTCTCATCGATGTTTCTGGCTTTCTATCCCTCTCCCTTCCTCTCTGTAAAAAATCAATAAAATATATTTTAAAAAAAAATTTATCTTTATTGTTGATAGTATTACAGATAGCCCCTATGTTGTTGTTTTTTTTCCATTGACCCTATTGTCTGTGTCCATGAGCTATGCATATATGCATGTAAGTTTTCTGGTTAATCTTCCTCCACCCACCTCCCCACTCAGTCTTTATAATTTTTCATAGATACTTGAAAATAACCTATATTCTTTATACATTATAAAATTCATTATCTACTTATTCTCATAAATTACGTCATATGGTTGGTCTTTATTTTGTGCATTATGCTAATTGACATTAGTGTGCTAAAATTCCTCCTATTTTGTTTCCATTTATTTCATGTGATAGTCCCCAAAATATCTTTTATTTTATGTTGTTAAGTTAGCCTGTGATTAAATGTTCAATACTATTTTGCATTTATTATTTTAATGATATGTTTGAAAAAAATAACACATGCTAATTATAGAAAATCTGAAAAATAGAGAAGCAAACACAGAAGGAAATGAGCATCTTTATTGTTACTATGAAATATCATTATTAAAAGATTTAAATGTGATTAAGAATAGGGGTTTTAGAATCAGATTTGGGTTTGAAATTAGGCTCTGCTTATTAACCTTAGGCAGGATATTAGGTTTTTTCATTTATGGTAATATTTATTGAGCACCTACAATCTGTCAGGCATTTTGCTAGGGATTGAGGACACAGTGCTTAAAAAGATTAACATACCCATCTTGGCTTAATTTTTTCAGTTGTAAATTAGTGATAATGCCTCATAGTTGTCAGAAGCATCAAAGATGATCTATAGGACTTAGCACTTACCTGGTGCATGATAATTCCTTAGTAAATGGTAGTGGTTATTATTACTACATATATTAAGTACTAATTATATTTTTAGTCCAAATTAAATGACCTTTCTTGTTGGCTTAAGGTTTTTGCCCTCACAATTTATTTTTGGCCTTAATCTTACAAATACTTGCTTTCTTTTTCTTTATGTTTTTCTATGCTTATCTGTTTTGTTTGGGTTTCTCTTTAAAGTAGTAAGTGATTATGTGGATGTTTTAAGCTTTTAAGTTTTTGTTATCAGGCACTTTAAACACATGCCACAGTAAAGAGAATAAGTATAATGAACCACCATATTCCCATAACCCAGCCTCAAGAATTATCACCGCCCTCTCCACATACTCTTTCTTCCCCTCTCTGGCTCCAGTGGATTATTTTGAAGCTAATCCTAGATACAGCGTCAGATGTAAATATTTACATCTATATTTCTGAAAATATAAAGACTTTTAAAAGCATAATTACCATATCATCATCAGTCATAAAAACATCAGTAATTCTGTAATCTCATTAAATACACAGTAAGACCCTTAATTTTCACTAGATACTTCACACTTTACATTTCTTACATTATTTTGGAATGATCTCATTCATCTTATTGTAAGTTTTTTTATTGTGTTTGGGGTTTTTTTATTTTTGTCATGGGTTGTTTGTTAAGGAGGTTATGAAATAGTGATGAAAGAGTTATGGAACTGGAAAGACCTGGGTTTGAATCTTGCTTCTGTCATTCACTAATTAACTTTGCTGAGCCTTTGTTTCCTCATCTGTAAAACAGGGATAATTATGCCTACCTCGTGATCTTAGGGTTGAATGTAATGCCTGTGTAAAGTACTATTCACAGTCTGCCAGTTACTATCTTCTAGTGATTTGGACTGCAATAAGTAAATAAAATTCTTGGTTATTGTATGTTTTTTAAAAAACATTGCAAATTTTATATTTACTAGCTAATTACTAAAAATAGTGGTTTTTAAATATCCTTTTAGGACAGAAAATTTAGAATCTCTGTTTCTCCCTTCTTCCACTAACTCTTATTTTGAGTTCACATTAATTTAGCCTGACATTATAGATCTTACCTTTAACTTTCTAAAGTTTTATATTGTTTATATACTTATATCAATTTTTCCTTCATTTTTGACCCTTTTTTTAAGTGGGCTTAACTTTTCCACCCAGTTATTTCTAGATATTAAGTTGGCGTCAGTATACTTCAGCATTTCTTTCCTACTTCAATATTCTTGAATTCTTATTTTGACTCTCTTTCAATAGTCTAGGACACGCCTTTGAACAATTTATGAAAAAAGGTACTACCAGAATGGTGACATTTATAAGGCTTTGCAAACCTAAGAATAATTTCCTGTGGCATTTGTACATGAAAAACTAGGACAAGGTATAAAATTCTTAGATCATAATTTTTCCCTTTCAACTCTGTGTCAATACTTCATTGTCTTCTGGCATTTTATTGTTGCAGGGGAAAACTCTGAGGTCAATCTGGTTTTAGTTCCTTTGAAAATAACCTATTTTTTTCTGCTTGTATGCTTATAGGATTATATCTTTATCCTTGAAATTTAAAAACATTTGCCAGGACATGTCTTGGTGTTGATGATCTCTGTTGAACCTTCTCAGTCTCCAGTCTCAGGTATTTTTTTTCGGAACTGGAAAGTTTTCTTATACTTTTGATTGATTAAACTGCTCTGTTTTTTCTTTAGGAACATTTGTATTCATAGATTATTTCTATGTCTGTCCTCCATAATTTTTAAATATTTTCTTTCATTTTCTTTTTCATGTACTCAAGTGTGTCCTCCGTGGCATGGATTCCGTTTTCTGCAGTGTCAATTCTAATACTTGCTATTCACAATGCAGATTTAATTTTGGCTATCGTGTTTTCTTTTCTTCTTATCTCAACATACTCTTGTTTCATAAGCAGAATTCCCCTTAGGGGTACACTCTAAAAAACATGAGGTGGATTCAGGCCTAAAATGTATCTATTTTCTAAGGCCAAAACCACAGGACCAGAAAGGAAAGAAAAAACTTCTTAAAATGAAGATATAACCAGAGGTCATTCCTATCCTTGTCTAGAAAATAGAACAGTCTTGACTACTAGCAGGTCTTTAGTTGCTGGAGGAATAGCAAAGCAGGTATAAGGGCACCTTATCTAGAATAAATGGATTTTTCTAATTACATTGATTGTTTTATATCTTTAAAAAATAAAATATAATAAATGCATATACTTTTGAAAATACAGTACAAAGAAGAAAATCCTATGACCCAGGTAACTACTGATAAGATTTTACATATACTTTGCTACTTACATGCACACATATTGGGAGGGGGTGCAAAATTGGGGTCATACTACATAGTTTTGTATCCCTTTTAATTTAATATATTGCAAACATATCTTTGCATCATTAATTTTCCTTTGAGGCCCTGATTTTAACCATTGCATAGTATTCCTACATATGAATAGATGTATTATGATTTATTTTACCAGTCCCGTTGGTCATTTAGATTGTTTTCTATTTTTCAGTATAATGAGTATGATGACTATCACTGTACATTAAGTCTTTATGCACATCTCTGATATTTCCTTAGGATAAATGAGGAGCTGATTCTTAATCCTGTCACATTGGTAAGGATTATATACCTTCCTTATTAAGACTATAAAATGCTTGTTTCTTGTTGTTTCATTGTGATTGCATAGATTCTTTGGATTCTGAACAATTTTATCATATCTTAACTGAAGTTTGAGAGAGGTTTCTAATGCCTCATCCTCAGCACCTTCATGGAACTCCTGTTACACACTTTGGGCAGGAAAACCATCACTGATATCATGAGCTTGGAAGGCAAATATACTTTGAAGGTGGTTAAAAAAAAAGTATGGTCCATGCTCATTCCTACAACCTGGGTCTCCACTAGGGCTCTGGACCCTTTCTTTTCTTCTTCCCTCCCTCTTATTTAAGGCTGTTGTTCTCTGAGGAATTCTTTTTTCCCAATGTTCATATGTAACATTCCATTTTTAGGTAAGAAAATGTCAGTACATGGTGTATGTCCTACTAAGTTAAAGTTAGCATGTACTGGGACAGATAATTTTTTTAGTCCCAGTATATTTGTATATGATGATCTCCTGCTAACTCAAAGCATTTTTTAAAATTTATTTTATATTTTCTTCAAAGGTGTCAAACAGTAGCCTGGAAATATACATTATTATAACATGCCATTACAACAAAATCTGTTTAGTAGGGCTACTTAAAGTGAATTTTTTAAACAGTAAAATGTTCTTATTTTAAACATTTCTGAATTTTCCTTTAAATACTTGAGAATATCCTAGAAGTCCTAAAACCTTGATTCAGAATGACTAATTTGAATTGTTCAGCCTCTTTAATTTAAACCAGGAAGATGATCTTAAGTGATAATTTTATACCATAACATTAGAAGTTATTTTGAAAATAATTCCTACTGAAACTCAAGCTGACAGTCTCCTTTATCTGATTTGTTCTGATGAGACCCATAGTGTATGTTATCTGATTTTTTACTTTTACACATTTCAGACTAACAGAGTAAAGCGTGATTAGAATTTTCTAACCTTTTCCAGTATTTCACATAATATTTGCATATGTACAATCTGCCAAGCTTTGCAGTTTTTTGGCTGGAAGGCATTATGGTGGGATGAGAGAGGATAAATACATTTGCCTCTCTTTTAAACTATTTTTTGTCTGCTCTCATTCTTTAGCCACATTGTATAAAAATATACCACGCATATGAATGATCTCTTCCACCCTGCTTGATAGGAATTTGGCTGTAATAAGTGGTGAAACAGGTATCTTCAACACTCTCTTGTAGTTGTTCACTGAATTGCATTTAGAAGTTCACTATAGAAATATAAGTGTTTCACAGTCAATTGAGGCAAAAGAGGGAACAGGAAGTAGCATTTACTGAGCTTCTACTGTCCCTTGGTGGATCCTCTTAATTACAATATTACTGTGAGGTGGATATTATATGCATCTTACAGATAAAGAAACTGAGGCTCAAAATGTAAGTAACTTACCCAAGGTCAGATAACTATAGCGGTAAGTGACAGGATGGGGTTTAAATATGGTACTAGCCAGATTCAGACCACCTGTTTTCTCTGTTTCTTTGAATTAGAGGAATAAGTTTTCTAGTTTAATAGATGCTCTTTCTTGAACTATTGGAACTATAGGAATTGCAATATTGAGTCTGACTGATGGTCCATGTAACCTAATCTTTAATGAAGCCAAGAGTCATTTTTCAAAAAGGAAACTTCTTAGCTGCAGAAGTAACTGTGCATTTATAACAGATAACCTTTGAATCCTTGTTTTGATGAAATGATACCAAACATTTGTTGAAGTAAAAATCCATTTTTGGTAGATCTTTGTAAAGATACTGCACTGCTATTAGCCTCCATATTTTCTTGCTTTAAAAATTAAATTGTTCAAAATTTTAATCTTTGCTAAACTTAGAAAGGAGGTAGATATTTTTGCAAAAAGTAGAGCATAAAATCCCTTTAGATCAAGTTTAACTCAATGTTTTTTTTCTTGGATTGCTTTGTTAGTGTATTAGTGTTAATTAGCTGAGTAAGGAGTTAAGAAAAGAAAATATATTGTAAAATTTATGGATCACATGAAGCTGAAAATAGTAAAGAGGCTGATAACCAGATTCGGAATCTAATCTATAGAGGCTAGCCATAGATCAGAACTGGAAAAAAGATGAAACAAAAATTTAAAATAAGATTTTATTCATGAGACTATGAGTAACAAGTACAAAATAGAGAATACAGGACTTAGTTGTAATGTAAATAAAGAAGACAAGTGGGGAAGAAAGGGGTCCTAATATAAGGTGACAAGAGAAGATGTATTTGACTTTGGGTAGTGGGTGCACGGTGCAATATACAGATCTTGTAACATAGAAACCCACACCTGAAACCTGTATGTTTCATGTTGACCAATGTCACCCCAATCTATACTAATAAAAGGGTAACATGCTAATTAGACCGGACATCCTTCCGGACAAAGCCACGGTGGCGGGGGCCAAGGCAGAGGCAGTTAGGGGCAATCAGGCCAACAGGGGAGGGCAGTTAGGGGCGATCAGGCTGGCAGGCAGAGGTGGTTAGGGGCAATCAGGCCAGCAGGCAGGTGAGCGGTTAGGAGCCAGCAGTCCCGGATTGTGAGAGGGATGTCCGACTGCCGGTTTAGGCCTGATCCCTGTGGGACATCCCCTGATGGGTCCCGGATTGGAGAGGGTGCAGGCCGGGCTGAGGGACCCCCCCCCTCCCATGCACAAATTTCATGCACTGGGCCTCTAGTCAATTTAATAAATAAAAAAAGAAGACAAGGATTTAATCAACAGATAACTTAGTATGACTCAGCAATGTGTTGTGGCCATTCCAAAAACATTGCATGTGAGAATTGCATTAATATTAAGGTTATTTAAGACAGTAAAGAAGATATGCCCTTTACATTGATCATATCAAGGTTGGAATGTTCACTGCATGCAATTCTGTATACCACTCTTTAAGAGGAATTGGATGCATGGTTAGAAAGAAGATGGTCTAATCTGTGTAAAAGGAATGTTTGAAGGAACTTGAGCTATCCAGAAAAGAACAGCCTTGGGGTGGTTTATAGTTACAGCTGTAGATTTACTTCCTATGACTTTTCAGATATGGTGCAGGCAAGTTAGCCATCATATATTACTAATCCTCTTAAAGGGAATTTGTTGCTGAGGAAAGTTACTATGTAATGAATTTTATCTAGCAACCAAAGCTTTTTCTCAGATGGTGTAGTAGGCTGCCTGGTAAAGTAGTACATTCTTGTCTTGATAGTGTTCAAATATAGATGAGAATGGGATAGAAAGAACCAAAGCATATGATGTATATTTGGAACAGAAGACTTTCAAGATCCCTTACAAATCCTAAACTTCTTTTTATTCTAAGATCAAAAGGACTTTATGGAGTATTATTTTATCCTCAATAATCTACCTCACCTTAATAGTTATTTGCATTGGTATAGATAGCTCTTTATAGACTGCTTTCTTATGAGTTAACTCAGTTTTGAGCCTAACAATGACAGGGCAAGTATCCTCATTTTGAACAGATAAAGTAACAGGATAGGAGAAAATTTCAATTGCCCCAAAAAAGCTTATAAGTAAGTGGCAGACCTAGGAATCTACAACTGGTCCACCAATTCCAAGTTTAATGTTGTTTCTGCTGTACCAGTTTGCCTTAAAAGTAAGTTATAAGTTGTGAGTCTTGTTTTGCATACATGAAAGTCACAAGGAGCAGATGGTTCTCAAATTATAATCCCATGGAAAATATAAGTGTAGCTCTAGTTAGACCTGGGTTCTAAAAGCCTAATATTAGGAGAGATGTTGAGCAGATTATTATAGAAAAAGAACTCTGTACAATTAATGAAAAAGTCTAGTTTGGGTTACTAGATGAATAATGATAACATTCACTAAGATACCAAACACAGGAGAAGTAGCAGATTGGTGGGCCACAGAGGGGGTGATTGAATTTAATTTTGGACAGAATTAAAATAGCTAAAATTGATTGTTTACTAAATGCCAGGCACAGTGCTTAGGGTTTTATCTCATTTATCTCATTTAGTCTTCAGAATTCTCTGAAGATAAGACTTTTTAATCTTTACTTTCCAAATGAAGAAACTAAAGCTTAGATAGTTTAAATCATATATCTAATGCTTCATAATTAGTGCAAGAACAGAAATCTGATCTAGGTTTCTGACTCCAAAGCCAGTGTTCTTTTAAGATCTAGTTTTAATTTTATCTGGGATGCCCAAATAAAAATAATCAGTGTTCAGTTGAATATATGGTTGTGGCTTTTAGGAGAAAGATGTATCATGGAGTTGAGTCTTTACCATAGAAATGGGCCTCTGAAAGTGTCTTAGGAAAATAAAGATCTTATACCTGCCTCCCCTTTTCTGCATTTTGGCACCATTTCTGTGCTTTGTAATATTGTATAGGCATTTCCTAATATAGGAACATATTCTGTGAGTGTTTTAAAATGTAAGATACCCTTTTTATGGGTTAGTAGAACTATGAGATCCTCTAGGATGGATCTCTATGATGGGGGGCATGTTTGTTAACCTTTCATCTCCAGCTTGGTGCCTAGAACATAGCAAGAATAAAATGAAATGGATGGATGGATGGATGGATGGATGGATGGATGGATGGGTGGATGGATGGATGAATAGGGATGGGGACAATAGAGAAAGGAATTCAAATTCAGAGCAGCTGCCTCATGAGGAGTATAGAGTAGTGGGTGGGTTACCTTTTATTTTCTAGTTGATAGTGCTCCAAAGATGGTTAGCTTAGATTCTTGTCCATTTGCTGAATTAACAAGTGGTCAAGGGAATTTACACCTTTTTCCAGTGAGGGAACTGGAGAAGACACTATATGTTCCTGACTCTGGTTTTGTTTTATTTTGCTTTAAATTACACAAATTATACATATTCATTGTAGAAACATTAGAAAATTCAAAGAAGCAAAAACAAACAATTTAAATTGTCTAAAATTCTACCACCCAGAGATAGTCATTGTTAACATTTTGATGTATATCCTTCCAGAGTTTTTCCCATAGAAATATATACATTGAAACATGTATATATTTATTTAAAATGGGATCATTACAATCCATATTGTTTTGTAAACTGCTTTTTCACTTATTACATGTGACTGTCTTTTCATGTCAATAAATTTACATCTTTATCATCATTTTTAATGACTGCATAGTATTCCATAATGTGGATGTACCAAATATATTTAACTAGTTCTCTATTGTTAGGAATTTAGATTTCCAATTGGGAGTTCTTTTTGGAAAAAGTTATGGTGAGCATTCTTGTATGTACATCTAAGCACACTTGTCCATTGTTTTTTAAAAAAAGTCGAAATGATGGGCTGTTTTTAATACAGACTTATATTGCCTTCCTGAAAGGTTGAGCTGATTTATACTTTCTCTAGCAGTATATCCTGAGTGCTCTTTCCTCCATATTAGTGCTAGTGGTTTTTTTCTGTAAATCGTTACCAATTTGAAAGGCAGAGGTATCTTTTGGTTAAATGCATTTCCTTGATTAGTATTAAGGCTCAACTCTTTTTTCCCTTATTGGTCTTTTCTGTTGAGGTTCATCATTTTTTCTTACAGGTTTGTAAAACAAAGCTCTTTATGTATTGAGGATACCAACCCTTTGTCATATGTTGCTTTTAATTTTTTGTAATCAATTTGTCTTTTAACTTTTTTGTGTCTAGTAGAAGTTTTTTTTATTACTTTCATCCTACTTACCCCATAAGTATTATTCACCTGTATTTTCTTCTAATACTTGTATAGTTTTCTTTTTGATATGTTTTAAAATTTATCTTTATTGTTGAAAGTATTACAGATGTCCCATTTTTCCCCATTGACCCCCTCCACCCTGCAACCATCCCCCCAGGCCTTCACCACACTATTGTCTGTGTCCATGGGTTAGGCATATATGCATATAAGTTCTTTGGTTAATCTCTTCCCACCCACCCAGCCACCCCCACCTTCCCTCAAAGATTTGACAGCACTGTTGAATTTTTTTTAACATTTACATGTTTAATCCATCTGGAATCTATTTTGATATAGAGATCTAGCTTAATTTTCCCCTGAAATAATTAATCAGTTGCCCTGATTAATTATCAATGGAGTTGGAATTTAGAATGTTTTTCCCATAGAAAGTGTTGTAAATGAACTTTGATGAGGTTTGAATAAGATCATTTGTAATGCATTTAACTATTAAAATAAATTCAAGAGCTCACCTGGAAAGGTAATTATCATTTATTATATCATTTCCATTGAAAAATGTTTTTATAGTTTAAAATAAACAATTTACATGTTAACTTTTGAAGCACAGCCCTGTTGCAAATTGGCAACTGCTTACTTATGTAGTTGTTCTGTACTTCATTAGAACCCTTTAGGGGTAAAAATATTCCTATGTGATTTTGTTTTGTCTGCCTTCATTTAACTTTAACTGATGTAAGATCTGCTTTGGTAACTTTCTACTTGCTGTGCTTTTCACAGAATGGACAGCAAATTATGGATGAACCTATGGGAGAGGAAGAGATTAATCCACAAACTGTAAGTAAAATTTTACATAATAAGGGATATAGATAAATCAAGTACCAAAAAATTTAAGTATTCATACTTTTAAACTGAGCAAAATAATGATTTTATGGTCTTAGAAAATTGTTGATTCTTTCACATGAATTTTACCAAAATTCATTCTTGAATATGCCAGTGACATTTAGAAACTGATTTTAAAAGAATGAAAAAAATTGCTCTCATATTATTCAAAGTTTTCATTAGTACTTTAAAGATTATTTTTTAAACCAAATCATAGATTTATTGGAGAGTAGTAAATAGATTGTCTCTCCATGCAAGATAACCATTGTTACAGCTCAGTTATTATTTTCTTTTTGTTCTGTACATAAGACAATTATTGCAGATATTTATAAAATACATATATTCTGCAATTCATTTTCATTTAATATCTTAAACATCTTTTATGACAAAAATGTAGATGTATATATTTTAAATGGTTGCATAACACTGTTTTATGCATGTCCTATACTTAATGTAATTTTCCCCTATTTATTTTGGGGAACTTGTGTTTTAGTAGGATATCTATAATAATAAAAGCATAATATGCTAATTAGACCAGATGTCCTTCCAGACAAAGCTGGGGCTGCAAGGGAAGCCTGGGTCCCCGGTGCCAGAGGGAAGCCAGTGCCGGCAGCCAGGGGAGGGAAGACCTACTCTTGCATGAATTTCGTGCATCAGGCCTCTAGTCTATATATAAAAGGCTAATATGCGAAGTGTCCGGGTAATGATGTCACGTAGCAACATCCAGCTTCCTCTCCCTAGCAACGAGCCTCCATGGAGTTTCTTCAGCCCAGGAACATGACTTGCTTTATAGCCAGGTGGAAACATTTTACACTGTAACCAAATGTCTGTGAAGCGTTTTCCCCTGCCTCATCTCATTTGATCCTCACAGAGGTCCTGGAGTAGGTAGATAGGAGACTCGATAGAATCCTATTTTCTTTTCATTAGCTGGAAAATGGAGATTTAGAAAGTTTAGAAAGTTGACCCAACTGAAAAGTAAGAAATGGTGAATCTTGAAAATGACTTCAGGTTTTCTCACTGTGCAGAATATAGTCAAACACTGCTGCAGTTAAATATTTTACCCTTTGTTCTCCCTGCGTGATCTATAATAATAATCTGCTTCATGTTGATATTTACTACTGTGTTGCTGACAATTACCTGAAAGAGAAGTTGGGGTGCTTCACTGGGCTGGAAAAAGTTTAGCTAAATCAGAAAGCAGGTCTAATTAGGCAAGTTTATTCTATAACTATAAAAGGCTAAATTGACTCTCGCATGTGTGATACATATAAAGCACTCACTGGTGCCATTCGCACACGTGTGTTTCGATCTGTCATTGTCGTTCGTGAATTTGGTTGATACTTCTATTATAGAGAAAGGGAAAATAGTGATATTAAAATATTTCTGCTAATTAATTTCTTTTCAATGTGCACAAATTCGTGCACCAGGAGACTAGTAGTCTTAGAAAAGAATGAGCTGGAACAAAGGGTATGAACATCTAAATCTCAGTAGACACTGCCAAATTGCCCATCAAACGAAAACTTAATTCCATGTTGAATAGGGTATGGTCAAGCAGGATATTCAACATTGGATATTATCAGAAATTATTTTTAATTTGGGCCACTTTAAATAAATAACTCTTTCTCATTCAATTTGCATCTCATTTTATTATTAGTGAAGTTGAGTGTCCATGCATTATTGGCTTTTGTATTTTTGTGTTGGTCCAATTTTCTTTGGGGATACTTGTCTCCTTATGATCTGTATATATTCTGGATATTAACTCCATGTTTATAACATAAGTTACAAATATTTTCTCCCTATTTTTTAAGATTGATTATGTTGTCTGTTATTGCATATGTACAGAAGTTTTCATTTTTGAGGAATCAGATCTGGCTACTGGGTTTCATGTTTTGGTTAGAAAATCCTTTCTTACACCAAGGTCTTAAATATAGTCTCTTACATTTTCATCTACCACTTTTATGGGTTTATTTTTAGCATTTAGCTCTGTGATCTACTTGGAATTTTAGTACCTACTGTGATGTAGAAATCTAACCATCCTTTCTAAATAAATACCCTGTTGCCCTAATCTCTACTTATTGAATACATAAAACACATTCACCCAGCTGGTCTGGCTAAGTGGTTGAGTGTGGACCTATGAACCAGGAGGTCATGGTTCTATTCCTGGTCAGGGCACATGCCCAGGTTGTGGGCTTGATTTCCAGTGGGGGGAGTGCATGCGGCAGCCAATCAATGATTCTCTCTCATCATTGATGATTCTCTCTCTCTCTCTGTCTCTATCTCTCTCTCTCCCTTCTTCTCTCTGAAATAAAAACATACTTTAAAAAAAATTCATTCTCACTCATTTAAGATCCTTCTTTTATCATATATAAAATTGCTGTATACCCAATTGTATCAGTTTCCTAAGGCTGCCCTAATAAAGTACCACAAGCTGGGTGGTGTAAAACACATCACTCCAACCTCTACCTCTGTTGTCACTTGGCATTCTCCCTGTGTGTCTCTGTATCCAGATTTTCCTCTTATAAAGACAGCAGTCTATTGGTTTAGGGCTCATCCAACTTCAGTTTGACTTCATTTTAATATTATTATATCTGCAAAGACCCTATTTTCAAATAAGATCACATTCACAGGTACAGTGGATTAGAACTTGAATATACCTTTTTAACAGTTTTTAAAATTTTGTTTTTCTTTTTTTACATATATTTTTATTGATTTCAGAGAGGAAGGGAGAGATAGAAACATCAATGATGAGAGAGAATCATTGATTGACTGCCTCATGCACACCCCACACTGGGCACTGAGCCTGCAATCTGGGCATTTGCCCTGACCAGGAATCGAACCTTGACTTCCTGGTTCATAGGTCAGTGTTCAACCAGTGAGTCATGCTGGCCAGGATTATTTTTCAATTATATTTGACATACTATATTATATTAGTTTCAGGTATTCAGCATAGTGATTAGACATTTATATACCCCTTACAGACATTTATATACCCCAATAAATCTAGTACCCATGTGATACCATGTAAAGTGTAGCATAGGGAATATTGAACATACCTTTTGGAGGACATAATTCAACCTATAACATCTCTGAAGATTTTGACTTCACATACAGTTTCAGTTACTGTAAATAATAATATTATTTTAATAATATTGAGTCTTCACATCCAAGGATATTCATTTATTTTGATATTCTTTTATAACCTTTATCAAAATTTTATGGTTTCTTGCATATAGTTTTGTCTATTTCTTATTAAGATATTCTGAGAATTTTGTAGGTTTCGTTATATTGTAAGAGGGATGTCTTCTCTGCTCTGTCTTTAAATAAAGTCCAAACTCTGCAGTGTGACCTACCAGGTCCTGCATAATAAGGCCTTGCATACTTCTTTATATCCTCCCTGGACACACACATCTACCCTGTACTGAAAGTCTAATCACTCAAATGTATCAGGTTCTCTTTTGCTCCTGGGCCTTTAGAGGTGATATTCCCTCTCCCAGAATTTTTTTTCCCTTACCACCCCCTTCCAGTTAATTCCTGATCATCCTTCAGATCCACGTTTTGATATCTCTTCAACTGAGACATCTTCCTGATACAACTGTCACTTCAATTTTCACCTTGAGTTCAGTGTTTTTCCTTTGTGTTGCCACAGCAGTCCATGCATGCCCTAAATAACAGCACCACACTAGATTTTATTGCTTATTTATTCGTTTATATTCCCTACTAAACTGTGAGCTGCATGAGGCAGTGACCATGTCTGATATATTCCCTGTTTTACGGTGTGGGGCCTGCCGGGAGCTGTAGTTTCCCGGCGAGCATGAGTGGGTGGTAGCCGTGCGTGGGCGGCACTCACCCATTCCCTGTTTTATATCCAGCACCCCAATAAGTGCTTGTTAATTAAATGAATGCATGAATTATGCTTTAGCTAGCACAGGACCCGGACATGGGGTCTGGTGCCCACGGATGCCTTCACATTTGGTCACATTTCTGTAACTCCCAAAACATTTGAGGCATTTTACTTCATTAGTCCAGAGTATACATTTATTGGCATTTAAGCAAACATAAAAACAATCAGTAGGTGTTAATATTGATTTTTCTGCCACCAACTGCCTTTTTTCCTTCATGTAACAATTCTTTTTGGAAGGCAAACCTTCAAATTTTTTATTCTCTTTAGCCTAAAATCAAAGCAGTTTTTTCATTGCAATATTATATGGCTCATTCTTTCCCTCAAAGTACTCACAGCATTAGTAACACTTACCTGTGGAAGAAACTGCATTCTAAAGATAAAGTGAAAAGGTATAGAACTAAGATATTACCAGCAGTGTGGGTGAACTGCTGGTAATATCTTAGTTGAGCAGAGCATTCCAGATTATAGGAATTAGGTTTAAGTATAACATAAAAGCCTAATATTTAATATTTCTTTAATGGCATTAAATCCAAAAGATTGTCAAAATATGTTAGCTTTATACTTTAAAATTATATTTGCCTTTAATGTACAATTAAATTTTTTTATTTTGTCAGTTATTGATAATTTAAATAGTGAAAATTGAGATGTCATATTAGTTATCTATTTGATGCATAATAAATTACCCCAAATTTAGTAGCTTGAAGCAACATGCACTTATTATCTCACAGTTTCTGTGGGCCAGGAATCTGTGTACAGCTTAACTGGGTTCTTTAGGGGTCAGAGTCTCACAGACTGCAGTCAAGCAGTTGGCCAGGGCTAGAATCTCATCTGAAACTTAATGGTGGAGAAGGATACTTCCAAACTGACATGTTTGTTGGCCCAGATTCCTGGCCTATAGAAACTACGAGATAATTGTATGTGTGGAATTTGTCAACTGGTAGGCTTTCTAGTAGGTTGAACGGCTCCTTTTCCATGGGCTAGAATGCAGAGTGTAATGATTAGCCAGTTTTGACCACGGCAAGATCATAAGATGGATGGAGGATAACAAGAGAGAAGA